ATTGCAGTACTATATGCATCCTAATTTGCAACCCTTATAAGGCAAGTTGCCAGTTCAGTCATGGGAATTACTGTAACGTTCAGCGATTATATCTTTAACAGTGCCAGAGCAGAATCAGATATCCTCTCCACGACGATACAATGATGTGTACATCGAAGCGTGTACCAGTGCACGGTGCTCTTACCATCGTCTTTGATTCGTTTTTCGAGGGACCTCACTTCCTTCTATCATTATCTGCTAAATTAGTGAAGATCGAGAAATTTGCTTCCTCAAAAAAAACGTTCATCATGCACCACCTGTCGTTGACTTAAAAGCAGATTTACATCTTAAAGTTGAAAGAAACATAACCTCAATTTCTGAGTTTCTTCTCATAGTCATAGTGTTATGGTATGCTGGTAATTGGCAGGCTTTCGTACGGACTAGCACATTCAAATTTCTTCTCTTCTGTCATTGCCAATCGTCTGACCTGAGTGTCAATCAGTTAGTGTTCCGAACTACTCACTACTTCAGCAAACTGTTCTGAAACACATATATACAAAACATTGCAGTGTAAGCGAATGAGCGATTGCATGTAGGAAACTGTTTTTGACTTTAAGAGTTGAGTTTTGTAGAGCTTCAGCTGGTATTCAAACAGTTTGATGTGAACGGTGACGGTTATATCGAGGAGCCGGAACTGAAGCAGGTGATGACCCGGCTCGGGCAGGAACCTAGCAATGACGAAATCAGGGCCATGTTCAAAGCTGCCGATCTCAATCGCGATGGAAAAATTAGCTATGAAGGTATGGTTGATTACCAATTGTAATTGCTACCGTTATATTAATAACTTTCATTTTAATTTTCATTAATAATGTACGACTTTCATTGTAATTAAAATCTAGAATTCACGGAAATCGCCCAGGCAAATCCTCTGTCGCTTTCAATGAAGACAGTGTTCGGCGAAATGGACAAAGATGGTGATGGCTACGTTACCAGGTCAGAAATGGATGAGGCGCTGCGGCGCATGGGTCACCAGATAACCGAAAATGAACTCAACGCTATATTCAAAGCTGCCGATACAGACCTCGATGGAAAAATAGATTTTGAAGGTAACACATCGACTTACATGTGACACAAAACCGAGGTCGTGAACTCTGCGAAAAATTGCCGTTAAAAATGGAATCTAAACAAAATAACCAGTCGAATAAAATCAAAACATTCGTTTATGTTCCTACAGTACTGAGTTAGAGATAGTGCTGGTAGGAGTTGTACACTGAGTATCGTCACTATTTATAAAATCAGCACTGTGAAATTGTTATTTGCTAAATTGTTTATGTGCAAGGTTACGATAAAGTTCGAAACGGAGTATAACTTTCAAAAGCGAATGCCAACTAGCTTCGTCGGAGGATAACTGTGCTGTACATCACATCTCCTCCATTCATGGTTCTGAACAAAAAAGTAACTAGGACAATATCAAAACCCATTTAGTTTCTCCGGCACATTCTGAAGCCGTACAATCGAGTTATCCTCAGCGTAGAAATACGTGGAGGCAATGGCAAAGGCGGGCAAGGGATGATATCGTCATCAGGAGCAAAGCAGTTTTAATGTGCTGAACTGAGTGTGTTAGAGAGAATGGCAGATTGTCAGATGAATCAAGGTACATGAAAGCAATTCGAGGCGAATTCCACAAGCATGCGGAGGAGTTGACTTAAAATAAAAGCATTACGCGCTGTGCTGTAGCCTGTAGCCCTTTCAGAATTCTGCCTGTCCTCTTATTCGCCATTTATCAAGACTTTAAAAGCTATTATGATCGGTTTAATTTAAAATATTAATAAACTGACGTAATTTCAATTAATTTTAGAGTTCGTCGCAATCATGTGCCATCGCAAGTAAGAAACAAGCGAACGGCACTAACGGCGCAAGGCGAAGAATGATTACGGTCGTAAGTCTAGCGTCTAAGCAGGCGAACGTTGCATGAATATCTGAAAATCTATAGATATTGCAGTCACGTCTGAGAAGAATATATCACATATGATCGTGTAATTAGGATAAAATAAAATGTGTATCATAATTAATTGCGTCATGCATTGCCGAAAACAGTTATGAATAAAAGCTAATTTTTGAAGCGGATAATATCATAGGCTTTATTTCAGATGTCATCGTTATAGACCTTAATCAAGACTGACAAGTCTGTCTACCTACCGACCTTCAGCGATGGTCAAACGTGCTTTGTTTTTAGAGGAAACATGCTTTTCCCTGCTATAAGTTAGAGAAAATTGGCACCCTCTAAGACTGCTAAAAAATTACGTTAATCGCCATCGGAACACTGCTGCCAATTGAGAATCTGAGAAACCTTTCAAGTGAGCATCTGCGAACGTGAAATCAAATTTTATTGATTTGGGCATTCGGATTCAGATATATGCGTATGAATTTCTGATTATGGATGAATCAACCAATAAATGAAAGCATAAATGAATGAATGTTCAGCTGATATCGTTCATTCGTCAGAGGACACATCCAACGTGGTTCGAACTAGTTATTAAAAACATTTTAGGTTATGGAAGGCAGGTAATATGGAAAGAAAGGAGGCTGAAAAGTTTAATCGACTGATGCAGTGATTACCAATCGAACAAGGCATAAAATGATGAATCAGTGATTTACAGACTGAAATGGGATCAGATGATTGACTCCTCTGTGACAGAAATAGTTTTATTTTGCCTAAAGGAGAGGAGAGATTTAAGTACTTCATTAGATTTTCGATTATGGGCCCATTGTTATGAAGATAAGTACTTGAACGATTCATGGTTCGGGGCACGAAACACTGCAGATAGTACAACACTTTAATGCCGACGCCTTTCGCTACGCAGACGGTACCTTCTTCAGGACTAGGCGAAGTACAACTGAATGCTGGAAGGCAGATTACAACAAGCGAGCAGTACGTTAAGCTAAAATGTTGTTCAACTGAACGGCCAGTGTTAACCAACAAACCACGGCAAATTTTTCATTAAAACGACTTCATCAATTTTGTAATCGCCCCCCCCCCCGCAGCTTTCTCTAATAACCACTGAAGATGTGTATTCGTTGCACATCTTGTGTTTCATTGCCAGTATATGCAACTCTTCTGGATTTAGATTACGTTATGAGGCTGATCTGCTGATCAAATTCGTAGAGGGCGTTTACAAGTTTGATAACTATTATTCACTGCTCTATTGCTATAGATTTTGCAACGCAAGAAGAGACATATAAAAATATCCCAAGATAGAATAAAGTACAATCCAAAAATTATGGGATAGTCAGTTTCGAGTTAACATTACATTTAAATTACTGACAACGGATTCTGCGGATAGCGGCAAATTTTGCTTGTGCTCAAACATGCCCCTTCCTCATGTTGATACGGCTTTACTTCCGATGCACTGTAGACCCCTAAACACAGTGAGTCTGTGGCGTGGACAAGCTGTCTCTCTAGGCGACTAGAAGCTATGGGACAGTACAACGTTACGATATGACCCGTATAATGACTTCAATCCATTTTAGACGACCGCAATGCCACTGTAATCTGAGAAATAATGCAGTTTTCGTCGTGTAAATCCGGTGCCTGTAATTTAAATGTGAGTAAATATATTGGCTGGCGCTTCAAAATTATCTGCTGACCGTCTGTCATTAATTCTAGTAGCTACTTCAAACCACTAGCAACCGCCACCGGTCTTAAGCCTGGATGAAACAGGAGTAGGTTTTGCAAGTGTGCGATGACTCCAGTAGAACTCAGCCAGCTGTTTCTCATGATATGACGCTATCATGACTGTCAAACGAAAACATTACCCCGAGTTCTGGGGTAGACTCCGTGAGTAAAGTTATCAAATAACATGAACATCAAACTCGTGCCAATTTCAGTTACAGCACCTAACAACCTGCAGATCTCTTCAGAATTCTTTATAGGTTCCTTCCATGAAAATCTGCGGAAGATGGCTGCTCCTGAGCATTCTATTCATGTACAACACAAACAGAAGAGGGCACAGAACTCAGCCGTGGCGGAGACCAGTGCCAAGGTTGAAAGGTTTTGACTTAACGCCATTTACTGTGACGCAGCACCGGCTATCAGAATAAGGTGATTGGACGGCCCGTAGCAACTGATTGTCAATTCCATCTATTCGAGGCGCGTTTATTGATTGTTGTGACGGATCCGGTCAGAGGCTTTCGATTGCCGCATCGTACTCCATCTCCCACAGCTTACCGTGCCAACAGCTAGGTGATGATCGGTTGATAGCTCTGTGCCTCTCTTAACATGAACATCCATTACTGAGCGTCTTAGGTCAGACGATACGATTATCAAATCGATCATCGACTTCT